AATTGCTGCACAGCAAAGCACCACAAACTTAAGTGGTTTAGAACAATAATCATTTTGTTTGCTCAGAATTATGAGGGTCAGTAATTTCAGCCGGATTATACGGTGGTTTTTCTGCTGTTCTCACCTGGGTTCACTCAAGTAGCTACTGTGATCTAGCTGCTCAACTGGAACTAAAGTGGCTCTCTTGCCCTATCTATGGTTGATGGTGGGTATTGGCTGGGTTTCTCATGCCACATGGTGTCTCATCCTCGAGAAAACTGTCCTGGGCTTCTTTATAGTGATCTCAGAGTTCAAAGAGGGCAGAGCAGAAGTTCAATCTTCAGCCTGGAAGTGACATAGCAATCCTTCTGCTACATTCTCTTGATCTGAACAAGTCACAAAGCCCACGCAGATTCAAAAGGTGGGAAATTGACTTCACCTCTTGACAAGAGGATGGACAACATCACATTGCAAAAGGGACACGCGTCCGGGGATGAGAGGAGTTACCACATTCATCCTTGAAAACACCCTTCAGTTATATTTTCAAATGCACGAATATGCCACACAAGAAAGCAACAAATGTTCATGTATATATGGTGTGTTTGTGTGTATATATCTCTTGTAAATAATAATTTCAGATGTATGAATTGTATGGCATGGTGGGAGGGAGATGTATATATGGTAGGGAATTAGCAAAGCAATTTAGGACAACCCTATAAATTGTATTCGTTGCTTCTTTGCTTTGTGTTGGAGAATCCAAGTCAAAATAGAATTCCATTGTACACTCTGTTAGGGCATAAGTTTTAAGTTAGAGCATAAGTACTCTCTTTCTGAGAGTGATATTTTGTAGCAAGGTATTTGTATTCCTAGCAGGCGCACGCGCGTGCGCGCACACACACACACACACACAAAACCTCTGAAAGAACTGATGAGGTAAGATACCAACTGAATGCTTATGGGCTAATGCTTCTTCCCATAAGATTGCAACTCGGCCTTTGCAATCTCCAGTTGTTATTAATTTTTCTTTTATCTTCTCACATATTAAAAGTAGGTGTAGAGCGATGGCCAAGGAAATCAGCAAATCCTTTTCAAAAAGCAACTATAAAGCGGGACAAAACTGATCCATTGTATGTATGTTGTTTTCATATAACAATCAGAGAAGGATTTACGCTTGAAAAACTGTTGAACTTCAGGTAAAAACAGTAGAGTTCTGTGACATTCTTTCCTGGGGCTTCTCCCGTCTCAGGGTAAAACTGCCAGGATGGAGCAAACCATGAGGACCAGCCTCTTTCCTGTTAAAGAAACTCACTCGGTGTGGAACACAGCAGCAATGTTAATGCAAGTGACTTTTTGGAGGCTGTGAGTTGAGACAAGCCAAATATTCTTAGCCCGAGGTTGCAGCTGTTAGGGCAGGCATACTCCTGGCTGAGAAGGGAAAGGCCACAAGCTCTTCACGCATTAAATACATCCTTAAATTTTCATCAGAAGACCTAGCCCCAGGCAAGAACTGATCTGCTTTCTGTCTCTGAAAATTTGCCTTTTCTGGACTTTTCATACAAGTGGAATCATACAACATGTAATCTTTTACCTATATCTCCTTTCACTTAGCATAATGGTTTCTAAGTTCTTCCACATGGTACCGTGTAGCGGAAGTGTGTTTTTTTCAATCATGAAATGATTTTCTGTTGCATGGATATATCACATTTTGTTACTCCATTTACCAATTGATATTCATTTGGAATATTTACAGATTTTTCACTATTATTAATAATGTTTCTATCAAAATTCACATGTAAGTCTTTAAATGTACATATGTTTGCATTTTTTTCTGATTAGATGTTAAGGAGTAGAATTCTTGGGGCATACAGTAATTCTGTATACTTCCTTTTGAGCAACAGCCAAACTCTTTTTCAAAGTGGCTGTACATTTCACATTCCCACTAGCAATGTGTGAGGATTCCAATTTCTCCACATTCTTGTCAACACTTGTGTTTATCCATCTTTTATTCCATTCTAGTGTGCGTGTAATGATATCTCATTGTGGTTTTAATTTTCATTTCCCTGAAGCCTAATGATACTGAGCATTTTTTTTCATGTACTTATTGGCCACGTACACCTTTTTTGATGAACTGTCTATTCAAATCTTTTGCCCTCTAATTTTTTCATCTTATGACTTAGTGGTAAGTGTATTTATATATTCCAGATTACAGTCCTTTATTAGATATGTGATTTGCAAATACTTTTTTCTGTTTGACACTTGCCTTTCATTTTCTTATCATTGTCTTTTGAAGGGTTAAACTTTGAACTTTTTATGAAGTCCAATGTATCGCAGCTTTTAAAAAGTGAATTGTGCTTTTCGTATTGTGTCTAAGAATTTTTTGCCCAACCAAAGGTAGGGATTTTCTCCTGTGTTTTCTTCTTGAAATGGTACAGTAATAATTTTTACATTTAGGCCTATGATTTATTTAGAGTTAATATTTTTGTTTAGTATGAGGTAAGGGCTGAAGTTCAAGTTTTTGTTTGTCTGTTTGTTCTATGTGGACACACAATTATTCCAGTGCTACTTGTTGTGAAGGCTATCTTTTTTTGCATTGAATCATTCTGATCACTTTGTAAAAAAATCAATTGACTGCAAATATAAGAATTGACTTCTGGATTCTCATTTATGTCCAGTTGAGTCAACTGATCTATATGCCTATATTTGTGCCAATACCACACTGTCTTGATTACTCTGGCCTTGTAGTAAGTTTCAAATTTAAGTGGTATAACTATTTCACCATTTTTCTTCTTTTAAACAATTGTTTTGGCTATGCTAGCTCCATTGAATTTCCATACTACACATCTATTTCGTGCTAGATATTTTCCCACAGGTCTCTGAGGGTCTGTTTATTTTTCTCCAACCTTCTCTCTCTGTGTTCTTCAGATGAGATCATTTCTATTGGTCTATTTTCAAGTTTCCTGATTCTTTGATCTGTCCTCCTCAGTTTTCACTTGTGTTACTCTAGTGAAATTTCCATATATACATTTTTACATATACATACAAATGCATATAATCACTTACTGTATGTTTCACCCAGCCTACCTTTCACTTTTTATATTTATTCTCATTATCATTATTCCATATATTCATCTTTAGGTAGTAGATTTTTTTCTCACTTTTTTCATAATCTCCGTTGTCCTTGAAATAACAAACTTCTTTTTTTATAACACTTTAAACTTTCTTTCTGAGATTCTTTCCAAATAAATATTTGTTTTGGTTTTGTTGTTTAGATGTATACAACATGATTACTTTGATATATTTATGCATAGTGAAATTGTTACTATGGTCAAGTAAATTAACAAATATTCAGCATCTACCACAATTTCTCTATCCCCCATCATCTGTTGACAGACACTGAGGTTGTTTCCATGTCTTGGCTATTGTGAATAATGCAGCAATGAACATGGGAGTGCAGGTACCTCTAAAAGGTGCTGATAATACCAGAAAAGTGCTTGCTGGGTCATACAGTATAGTTCTATTATTCATTATTTGATCTTCTTCCATACTGTTTTCTGTAATGGCTGTACCAGTTTACATTAAAATGGTATAATATACTAACATAACAACAGTTACATAGAACAATGAAATAGAAAAAGTAGCCCGGAAATAAAGCCAAGCACATAGGGCCAATTAATTTTCGACAAGGACACCAAGAAGACACACGGGGAAAAGACAGTCTCCTCAATGAATGATGGGGAAATAGGATTTCCATATGCAAAAGAATGAAATTGGACCCTTATCTCACACCATACACAAAAATCAGCTCAAAGGCCTAAACATAAGGACTAAATCCATAAAATTTATAGAATAATCCATAGGGGACAAGCTTCTTGACATTAGTCTTGGCAAGGATTTTTTTGGATATTACACCAAAAGTTCAAGCTACCAAAGTAAACATAAACAATTTGGACTACATCAACCTAAAAAGCTTCTGCACAGCAAAGGAAACAATCAACAAAGTGAAAAGGTGGCCTACAGATTTGGAGAAAATATTTGCAAATCATATTTCTCATCAACAGTTAACATAGAAATGTATAAGAAGTTCATGCAACTCAATAACAACAACAAAAATAACCTGATTGAAAAATGGGCCGAGAACTTGAATCAACATTGCTTCCTCTGCACTTCCTGATGGACACTTCAGATTTCCACACCTGCCAAATAAATCTCATCGATCTCAGGAAATAACCTTAAATGTTTGCCATTAATAAGGTTTATTAAAGTATAATACATCAAACCGATGGGGTCACTAAACATTTTCCAAGGTCTGTAAATGCATTGTTGCTTAATTATTATTTCCACAACTAACAAAAGAACACACAATATGAAATATAATCCTTAATTTTAAAGTAAAAGCAATTTACTATTAATAAGACCACATTTGCTTTGCAATGAGTAAGGAGTTGAGCACTGATAGAAATTTTCAAATGACCTAAATTTGGAACTTAATTTTGTGCACTCCTAGACTCTTGGCACCATGATTCTGTATTGATTCTTGATTGGGGAGCCACTCCCTTTGAGCTATTAAGGTTCATTGCTGTCTGTTGAACAAATGCTAAAAGAGCATTTTCAGAAAATTTTACAGTGAGTTTAATAAAGGCATTCTGACGATATCCACATTTTCTTATCACTTTGAAGTAGATTATCTGATTTTGAGATACATAAGTCTAAAAAGCTAATTTATCAAAATTTATATTTTTTCTCCTTTCTCTATTAAGAGTATTTAAAATTCTCACATCTCTCTTTCATTTACTTAAATATTTTCTCAAATTTTCTATCTTGATGACCAACAATATTTCCTACTTGAAGTTTTTGAATTAGGTAATAATTTTTTAATGCTAAACAATTTAATCATATAGTATTCCTTTAAAGCTCATTTGCCAGTTGCAGAATTGAGTTGTTAGACTGGAAGAAAATATGAAGTGCCAGAATTTCTGCAGCTTGCCTCCCAAAACATTCATTAGCTTGCACTTTAACTGTACCTGTTCAGATCCTTCCGCAGATCACAGCTGAATGAATAAGGTTATCCAATTAAACATCTTTATATCCTATGGAAAACAAAACAAAACACAATTTTATACCACTCAGTAACTCTTGTACTCAGACACAGGCACTCTAACTTTCATTTTGTATTGCTGAAGTTTGTATTTCTAAAAATCAAAGTGTCAGGGCGGTGCTACACAGAGAACCAGAGAAGCAATCTGACCCTGAGGAAGCATACCAGGACTCAGGTGAAGAAAAGCAGACAGACTGTAAGAAAAGCAAGCCTCATAAGCGAATGACCAGATGAGCAGAATATTTTTGAAGACTTCCAAAAGGAGTGCATTTGAATAGTAGTCAAAATGGACATATTTAACTATACTTAAAAATAAGTGAATCATGAGTTCATCAGAAATGTGCTTCTTAGTCTATAGTCATGTTTAAACAATATTAAATCAATAAAACAGTAGCAACAGCATAGTTTGTGAGAGTCTCAAATTCCTTTATAAATATGGAGAAGGAAAATAGTATAGGAAAATTTTTAGGGGGCCAGATACGGTGGCTCACGCCTATAACCCCACCACTTTGGGAGGCCAAGGCGGGCAGATCACCTGCGGTCAGGAGTTTGAGATCAGCCTGGCCAACATGGTGAAACCTCATTTCTACTAAAAATACAAAAATAAGCCGAGCGTAGTGGCAGGCGCCCATAGTCCCAGCTACTAAGGAGGCTGAGGTAGGAGAATTGCTTGAACCCAGGAGGCAGAGCTTGCAGTTAATCGAGATCGTGCCACTGCACTCCAGCCTGGGTGACAGAATGAGATGCCATCTCATTTAAAAAAAGAAAAGAAAAAAAGGAAAAAAAAATTTAGAGGACAGTATTATCAACAAAACCAGGTGACAAAATATCTCCTCAAAACCCCAGAATACGCATAAATAGAATCAGACTGAGGCTATATGATCAGCAGCTATGCAGAAATAGAAGAAAAGAAATTTATTATTTTGGAAGAAAAGAGTTCTGATGATCCTCTGAGACAGAGTTCAAAAGTTGCTTTAAAATCTTCATCTCTAAAAGAAAAGGACCACAATCTGAGTGGGAATCTCAGCAAGCAGACTATAGAACCAAATGGTGAAATGGATGAGTACACGATAGCAAGATCACAGAACGTAGAAGGCTACAGCAAGATCAGAGAATGCCCAAGTTCTCAGTAATTAGAAACATACGAAAAAATCATCCTTTCATTAGGACAGCGCCCCTTCTAAGGAAATATCGCTGAAAGTGGACTCCAAATTGGGCAAGCAAGAACGCTGGTGGTACAGAAGAGAAAAGGCTTACACACTAGTGAGGGGGAGTTCAGACGAAATTGACCTCAGAAAGCTTTTTTAGAGGTAGTTAGAAAGACTGACACTACTATTCATACTTCATAGGACCCATGATGAGGGAAATTTTCAACACTGAAGGTCAAAATGCATACTGCTTCACTCACAACCGTAAATACTAACAGCTCTTTCTAAATACACAAGAAAATCCATCTTATTTAAACATGAGCAACAGAAAATGTTTGTAATTGATTGCTACTGAATGAGAGTGTAAAAATAAATGCTCAAATAACTTACCAACAAAGGATCACCCCAGAAAAAGGTGTAACTTAGTATTTCAAAATTGGCTCAAAGGAGCTAAGAAATTACGGAAGCTACAAATGAACAGTGTGAAGCACAAAAAAGGAAATTCCAAAAATAATATAACCAGACAAAGGGAGAATATTAAGGAATAGTGGAGAGAGATTGGGAAAGGAATAAAATCACACATAAAAACTAGACTAGGCCGGGCGTGGTGGCTCACGCCTGTAATCCCAGCACTTTGGGAGGCTGAAGAGGGTGGAACACAAGGTCGGAAGTTCAAGACCAGCCTGGCCACGATGGTGAAACCATGTCTCTACTAAAAATACAAAACCTAGCTGGACGTGGTGGTGAGTGCCTGTAATCCCAGCTACTTGGGAGGCCGAGGCACAGAATTGCTTGAACCCAGGAGGTGGAGGTTGCAGTGAGCCGAGATTGTGCCACTGCACTCCAGCCTGGACTACAGAGCAAGACTCCTTCTCAAAAAAACAAAACAAACAAACAAACAAAAACCACAAAAACCAAGAAACACTAGAGAGAATACAGGAAGAAAAATGAAGTTTAAAAAGGAACACATTGTTAAAAAATCAGAAGTGTAAGGAAAAACATAGGAAAGGGTTCGTTGCAAAAAAGGTAAATATGGAAGAGAGGCCATGAAAAGACCACATATGTGTAAAAGAAAACTGAAGAATAAAGATGAAGTGCAATAAAGTGAGAAAAGGACACTCTAACCTGGGAAAATCAACTCAGAATCATCAACACCAAGACATTTCATGTAAATTAATTCAGATTCAGAGAAAGAGAAAGAATCCTTTAGATATCCAAATAAAAAGAACATATAATTTGTAAAAAGAAAATTCGAATCGCCTCAGAGTGTTTGATATGAACACTTTGTACCAAACGACAATCAAGAAGCATTTTTAAATTCTCAAGGGGAAAAAAAATAAAAAATAAAAAAACATGAACTTAATGATTTTGTACAAAGCTAACTGATCTTCAATTGCAAATTCCAAACAAAAATAGTCACAAATGTGCAATAAATTATGGTTTGTGCACACAATGCTATTAACAGCAGTTACCAGCAACAACACAGATAAATCTTAGAGCATAAGACGGAGTGGAAAAAGCAAATTACAATATGCTTTAGAAAGTCTGAATCCAGATTTATAAAGCTCAAGAATAAGCAAAACTAAAATATGTTGTTTAGGGATACACATATGTGATAAATCTACCAAAAGCAACAACAACAAAAATAAGAGAAGAGAAAAAAACAGTGGTTTCTTCCTATGGGGATGGATGACACAGCAGTGGGGTGGCCAAGTTCTAGCTCTTCACAGCTGGCCATTTTGTTATTGTTGTTGAGGTTTATTGTTCTTTATAGTCTTCCTAAGAAATATGTAGAAATATTTCCTAAGAAATATGTAGAAACAAGCCTTAGGTGGGCAATAAATAACTATAAAAAATACATCATAGGCCAGGCGCAATAGGTCATGCCTGTAATCCCAGCACTTTGGGAGGCCAAAGCAGGTGGATCACCTGAGGTCAGGAGTTCGAGACCAGCCTGGCCAACATGGTGAAACCCCAACTCTACTAAAAATACAAAAATAGCCAGGTGTGGTGGTGTGCACCTGTAATCCCAGCTGCTCGGAAGGCTGAGGCAGGAGAATCTCTTGAACCTTGGAGGCGGAGGTTGCAGTGAGCTGAGATTGTGCCACTGTACTCCAGCCTGAATGACAGAGTGAGACTCCGTCTCAAAACAATCAATCAAACAAAAAAAGATCATAAAGACAGGTAGCCTTGAATATATGTGACTGTAGAACATAGATTAATTTGGGAGATAAGGGCAAAATATTATAAAATTATACATGCTTTAACAGTGTACATACAATAAAACTAACAAAAGTGGAATGCGTGGAGAATATGTAAAGGGTAGAATAAGCTTGGCAATTGCCTCATAAGAATTAGAAGAAATTTTTTTAAATCATGTATAAATCAGATAATGGGAGAAAAGAAAAGGATGAGGAATAGGAAGTCACTGGGCAGTATCAATATTGATTATTACAGGGAACCAGTAAAGAGTATCTAAGAGAGATGTAACTAAGGATATTATGTAAATGTGTCAGTATAAAAGTAACAATTAGGCAAACAAACCTCATAACTCCAAAATAAATACAAAAAAGGTAAATTACAAAGCAAATAAACTTATGATGAAAGGCTTTATATGACTCCGTATTTTACAACTAACATTTAGAAATGTAAACTAAAACCATATAATGGAACTAAGATCACAGATATAAGTTATATGATTGTATGATCTTATGACCAATTCTGTGACCTGTCATATTAATAACAATATGGTTCTCACTGCTCTATTAAATGAAGGTGAATTTCAGATTAGCCAACAATGTAAACTTCAACTCTATGTTCTTACAAAACAGATCCATAAAACAGAAACTGAGAAACGCTAAAAATGAAAGGACAAAGATATACCTGGCAAAGAGCAAATAAAAAGTTTAAAAGCATTAAACAAATGAGGGAGTACCTATTTCAATGTTAAAGGCTGTGATTTGTAATAATAATATAATAAAATGTAAGAATGAACCAAGAAAAAGAAAACTTAGAATTCAGGAAACAGGAGATCAAAGCCAGAAGGGAAAAGTATTGACTGAGTAGTGGTGAAATAATGTCCCAGGAGCACGAAGATGCAGCAGACCTAAAACGTAATGAGGGAAGATAGAGGAAGACAGAAAAAGCATGATACTGATACCTACCCCAATATACAGAATTATATTTGGAGGGAATTTATAATTTAAAGTATTTGGGAAATATTTGGGAATACATACTTAGAAAAGTTAGCAAATGAAAAAATTAGGCAATGAACTCTAGGAGAAGAAAAAATATATATAGGCATACTTATATATACAAGACTGAAAATGTGATCACAGTGCATTAGATGTCTCTGCTATGAAAAATATTGGCAGTCACATTAATGTGAAAATTGAATATTTATTCATCATAAACTGTGCTGTAACTAAAATGAGAATATGAGCAGGTAGAAAATGTGTGTATGGCAGTGAGAAAGAAAAACATAAGGGACTGTATCATGTCACAGGAGAAAATCAACATATTGTATAAAATTGATTTTAAAAAGAAAGAGCAGCTTAAGCATATTACTTAGAAAATCAATGAAGTACAATTTTACAATTCTTTGGGGTTGACGTGTTCCAGCCTTATTCCAGTCCCTGCAATAGTGAGTCACAGAGAAGTCCCAGCCTACACAGAGTTAACTTTCTTGTGGGGGCATATGAGCAATAAATAAATAAAAATTAAATGTATAGAATGATAGTTTTATGTGTCAACATGGCTAGGCTGTTAATTCAGTAATCATCCCCAGGTATTAACCACTAATTATAGGTGTTGCTGTGTGGGTATTTCTTAAATGAACTAAAGT